TAATAATATTTGGATAGTATATTATTCCAAATATTTTTTGCTTGCTCATATCAATTACAATAATTTCATACATAGAAATTTACAGTTTTTTTTTTTCAAAATAATTCTCAAATTAGTTAAAATTTTTCATTTAATGTTGTTTATTGCAATATATTTAGTTTTTTTTTTTTTTTTTACTTTAGACGATCAAACTGTCAACACATCAACACCAAAAACTATTCGTAAGTGGAAAAAAACAAAAACAGTAAAGCAATGTTCGTCTGGTCGATCTGATCAAACACCATCTCAACATTCATCCGCATTAGGTCAAAAAATTGTCGATTATCCAACAAGTGGTGACGGTGATGTAAGTTTTCTTCTTTCCTTCAATTTTTGGTTAAATAATTTTTAGGAAATTTATTTTCTATATGATATGAATGAATTTATAATTTAGTTAAATTAGTATTTTATTTTGATTGTTTTAATTCGTTTGAAATTTATGTCATTTATGTATTCGGATTACTTAAATAACGTAATACTAACAATTATAAATAAAGAAGAAGAATAGTTCAATTTGAGAAGTATTAATTATTTTCTTTTAATATTTTATTACATTACTGTGATCCTAAGTGATCGATAATGGGAATAAATTAAAAGTATTATAATTAAAAATAAATCTTATCATATACATTTATATGAATTATTAATAACAATTTGTTTCGTTACTTTATTAGCCAGTAATTCTTCAAAGTAAATACTGTTTGAATTGATATTATTTGAGTTATTTTATAATTATAACTTTAAAAATGTTAATTTGCAAATTTACATTTTTGAACTTCTCTTCAATCCATTTTTTTTAGCTTCTTTAAATCTTTTGTTTTTTTTTTCTTCTCCTTCATCTTGAAATTCTTCAATGTCGCTTAAAAATTATGCAATGATAGAATTAATGTGAAGTAGCAATAATTTGCATCGTATTGATTTAATGAAATAAAGACTTTCTCTTTTTAGTTTTTTATTTCCAGTTTTTTTTTTTTTGCGTGAACATCAATTATATTGTTCTAGAAAGTTCAATTAAAATTTCAAATTTAAACTAAATTTATGAAATTTTGCAGATGGTTCCATTACTTATCAGATTGTGTGTAAAAGTAGTGGAAGCAAATGGTATGGATACGGTTGGTATTTACCGAATTCCGGGTAATACGGCTGCTGTGAATGCCCTGAAAGAAACACTCAATAGTGGCTTTACAAATGTGAATATTTGCTAATTTTAAGTAGCATTTTGAGAAAAGGAAAAATTTATGAAAAAAAAAATAGATGCAATTGTTCAATGTGCCAATTAGCTGTTTGATGCAAAATAATGCATTTTAAAATGTAATGAAGTTTCTCAATTAGCAACATTTCATAAAATTATATTACAATCATTTGAAAAAATCTCTTTAAAAATATTAATAGCTATAAGTATCAGATACATGTATTATTCCATTGAAATTCAAATGCAATACATCTTGTGATATTTTAATGTGAAACAAAATTAACCAAGAAAAAGTTTAAAAATTTAAATTATCTAATCATTTAATAATACACAATTTAATCCATCTATGTGATAAGTTGCAATAAGTTTAAATGTCGTATAAACTTTTTTTTTTTGCAAAAAAAAAAATTCAATTTTTCTTCCAGATCAATTTTACGGATCCAAGATGGAATGATGTAAATGTTGTAAGCAGTCTGCTAAAAATGTTCTTGCGTAAATTACCTGAACCATTGCTAACAGATAAATTATATCCATTTTTCATTGATGCGAATCGAATCGTTTCCCATCCACAACGATTACGAAAACTTCGCTATTTGGTAAGCTATGACAATTTTGATAAGCTATGACAGTTTTTTTTAAAATTTTGTTACTCTTTAATTTTACATCCTCTCGATAAATAATTTTTTTTTCTGGAAAAATTTTAAGAGTATTAAATGGAAATGGTTATGAAGATGAGGGATTTTTTAAAATTGAAAATGAATATATGATTAAAGTGAAAATTGTCTATTTTATAGACTCGTAAACTTCCTTCTGCTCATTATGAAACGTTGAAATATTTGATGGAACATTTAAGAGCGGTGGTCAAGCATAGCGATGTCAATAAGGTAATTTAGTATTGAATTATTAGTTTTATTTTCTTATCATGATATATCATTGTTTCTTTATCACTTTTTTTTTCAAAGAATAAAAAATAAAATGAAATTATATTTAATAATTTGCGAGTGCAAACTTGATGATTAGCTAGAAATTTTGCAATTAAACTAAGGCATAATTCAGGTTTTTTTTTTTTTTTTTTGAAATTTTTTGTTTACCAATCAAATCAATCAGAATGATGATTTTGCAGATGGAAACGCGTAATTTAGCATTAATGTTTGGTCCATCGATTGTAAGGCCTAGCGATGACAATATGGCTACTATGGTGACACATATGTCTGATCAATGCAAAATCATTGAAACATTCATTACTTATGTATGTTTTATTTAAATTCTTTTTTATTAGATGCTCTACTTCAAAATTAAAATTTTCAAAACAAATAAAAAATATTAATAAAAGATTGGAATCATAATTATTTCACTCTATTATATACTGACATTCATAGTTATCTCTTCATCCAACTCTCCATCTTTTTGATTATTTTATTTGTATATCATTCTTAATTATCATTCTTAATTTTTACTTTTTGAAAATTTAGTATATCATTCTTAAGCTATATATATCATTCTTAATTTTTACTTTTTGAAAATTTAAAACTTCATTTTTTAGTATGACTGGATGTTCGATGATAATGTAAAAGCGGAGGAGGATAAAGTACCACCGCAAATTACCACATCAAATGATTCTACCGCAGGCAATAGTCTTGCCGCTGGTAGTAGTGAGAATGATTCCGGTATTATGGTCACATCATTTAATGATATGCATAATTTAATTAGACGGGTTAATGAAGCCGAAGCGATTGCTTTGATGGATGCACAAAAAAGTGGAAAGGTAATGATTGCATTGATTCAGATTCTGATTAACTGAACACATTTCAAGCAGTCAATATGAGAAGAATATTTGTGACAAAATTGCTTAAAACAAAATGCTATAAAAAGTAATTCAAAAGTGTTGAAATGAAATATTTTTGCTGCTAATTTTAGATAAAACAAATTTTAAATGTACGACGTAATTCGAAACGTGAAAAGCGAAAGAAAGTACGTGATCATTCGGTTCATGCTTCAAGTATTCCATCTGCGCAGAATATTTGCAAAATTACTAAAATACCGGATAGTGATGCTAATAAATGTGAACATTCAGTCACGGGAATTTATCAGGTTTGTATTTGATATGATTTATCCTTCTATCTGCATCTGAATATCTGTAGATAGTTTTTGAATTCTAGTTGAAAAATGAAGATATATTTGGGTTGTAATTTGGTAAAATTATTTTTCCTACTCACTTTTTTTTTTTTGTTATTAAGAGAGTTACATTCTGTCAAGATTATAGGAACGTGATATCGATGCCGAAATAGTCTCACGTCAGCAGCAAAGTTCAGTGAAATCCACGCAACAGTATTGTGGTACCAGCTCGTCAGCGGATCATTCACCATCGCTTGGTTCATCACACGATTCTACTTCTCATGCAGTAACTTCTCGCTTCAATTTATGTGAAATGAAAAATGAAAATGCAGGAAATGTGCAAAATTACACGGAAGCAGACGAAATGAGGCGTCGAAGGCAAAAGGTCATTTTTACGTTCTACTTTTAAATGAAAGTTTTAGTTTTCAATTGTAATCGAAACAACTTTCTGACATTCATTTTAAATTCTTTGTTATTTTTCTCTTTTTTTTTGTAATATTTTGATTGTGTTTTTCGAGCAATAGAAAATTAACTAAAACATTCATACTGTAAAATTTTCTTGAATTTATTGTGAAATTTTATTGTAATAAAATAGATAATCAATATTACTTCTGTGATTTACAGTTTACATGGCAAAAAAAATACCTTTCTGGAAGTACACGATTAAATAAAGTTTTAAATTTCGCAAATAATTTCTTTAGGATGATTTTTTTCTTAAAATGATTTTCAGGAAATTTATTCTGCACGAAGGATTTTTATTGCTGGTACAGATGCAGATCTGGATGATGATGCTGATCTTGATGATCTTGTTAATCATTCTCGACATCTAAATTTAGCATCATCGCCTACTCTTGATGTTCTGAGTGCTGAAACACGTGAGAAGATTCGACGTTTGCAACAACTTCAAGGATGGGCTTCCACTGCACTCGAAAGACGTGATGTTGAAATGGGAATGAAGACGAAACGTTCGTTAGCACAAAAGACTCATGTTGAGGTGTGTTATATTTGAATTTAATTTCACTGAATGTATTATTCTATCAAGTTGAGCAGTAAAAATAAAAAATAAAAAAATAAAATTTTAATAATTCGTAAAATTTAATTCTCAATCTTTAAACATTTACACAATTTGCCTTTTTTATTTTCAGAAATCGGTACCAACAATGAAGACAACAGTGGAAGATTTTTCATCAACAGATGCATTATCATTAACATCTGATTACAGTACCACATCATCTGCACCATTAACTATTCCTGTTACTGTTTCATGTGTTGATCATCTTGCAACTGCAAGTAGTGATTATGCATCTAGTGATTTATCACCATATACTCGTAATGCTAGTACATCACCAAGACATCCTGATTTAGAAACTGTAGAAGTAAGTTATTTAAAAATAAATTTCAACTTTGCATTCAAAAGTAAAGTAGAAATGATGTATTGGCAATATATAATTGATATATTTTAGTATTAAATTAAATTAATATATCATTCAGAAAAGCGATTTCTATATCACATCAATTATAATGTAAAACTTTATTGATTGAATATCAATGCAATGTTGCATCATTTTTTTCATACATTGAAAACAAAATTTTAATGCTAACATTTGCAAACTTTTTTTTTGTCTTCAGTATTTAGAAAATTTTTATATTTTCAACAATTGTTTTCTCTTTTTTCTTTTCAATCAGACAATGCAGTTTAATTTTGTCTCCGCAATTTCTGGTCATTTCAAGGGATCACATCAAGGATCATCATTATCCACCGGTGAAGATTGTTACAGTGATTCCAGAGATCCGGAAAGTACCGTACTGGAGATTCCTTCGTCATGTCAGTATTTGCTTATCACTGAGAAGAAACGTTCAAAAAGTCAACCAAAGGTATTATTGCAAATTATAAATTCATTGTATCGAATGATACATTATAAATAAATGCAAGAAATAGTTTCCATTTAAATTGAAAGTTGAAATAGAATTGTAGTGAACTGTTAAGGCGAGAAAAAATTAAAAGTTTTGAATCAATTTTAGAATGTTTCATAGAAATATCAATTAAGGTACAAACAAGTATTACTCATTAATTTAGCGCTCAATTATCTTTCAAAGATAATTGTTATAGCTTCATCGATCTCATGCAGCATTTTCGGAATCCGAAATAGCAGATACCGTGCCAACTTCATCAAACCAGTACAATGGAAAAAATCCATTTACTGATGAATCTAAAATGAATGATCGACGAGAGCTGTGGAGGAGACATACACTTAGCGACATGGATATCATTCGTCAGGTATAATTTGAAAATTTTAAACTTTATAATACTGAGTTAAGCTATTTTGCTACACGATATTTTATCTTGGATTTTTTCTCTTAAACCATTTTAAAAGTGAGCTTTTTTTTTTCTTTCTTTTTGAAGTTATTTCATAATTGTTTTTAAATGAACGCTTTTGTAATGTGTAAAATTTGTCAAAAATTTGCGATAAAACAAATTTTTAGACTTTACGAGAAGAAATGAAACGAAAAAATAATGCACTGTTCAATTCACAAATCAAAAATACACATTCGGATATTGGTAGCAGCAAAGTGAATAAATTTGCCCGATGGCTAAAGAATAGCTTTCTTCGTTCCTCGAATGCATCTGTGAATGATGGTGCTATTAGAGGTAATCGAACTGAAATTATTATCAATGATATCACTGATGATACTCATGAGAAATCTGTAACATCAACAGTATCGAAAACAGTTAGATCAACAGATGGAAGTGTGTCATCATCAGTTGGATCAAACGGTGACATGACATCACCAGGTGAAGTTTTACCTTCCTCGGGTGATGAACAATTATGAGCTTATTTTATCGTTTTATTTTTTTTTTTTTTT